GGTTGGCCACTGCTTGACTCCACGTCAGAGATGCCTTCGTCCTCCATCGAGGGCGTCCTCGAGATATCTTGAGAATCACTCTCGGACGACATTCGCGCTCTAGTTCGAAGGCTCGTACAACTAGTGTTTTCTAAATGTTCTATCTCCTAGCCTAGGGGCGCAGCACAAGTAGCTAAGAGGTGAAGGGTAACTGGAGAACTGACCTTAAGAACAGAGGATTCAACCGGGGGCTGCTGTTTCTCTCTCTAGAAAAATTGACAGAGCTTCGCTAAGAAGTTTATCGCACACGGAGGAATGCCTGGCCTTGGGGTATTTATAGGCGATGAATCCGGGCTTGGGCCTGGATTCCGGGCCTCCGGATGAACGCCATCATTACACGCCGCATCTTCACCCAACCCGTGATGCCGCCCACGGACAGCCAGCCATCACACGCCACGTGTGCCACCCCCCAACGGCTATGTCCTGTCGTTACATATTCCAACGGCTATATTTCCAACGGCTATACTTTGGAAGCCCCCGGGTTTTCTGCTTCACTCCACTTCATCAAGTATAGCCTCCGGGTGCACTCACCCAGAAGTGCCCCCGGGTTGTGCCCCACACCGCACATTACACACGCCTTCGGGATCACTCCTTCAGATCCCTAGGGCTGCATAGCAGGGCACCCCTCGGGGATTCCCCCTCAGCACTGCAAAACCGGGTAGCCCCCGGGGAGTGCCTCATTGACAGATGGCCCATGGCACACAGGTAATGGGAGCCCTCGGGTAACTTCATCACCAACTCATCAACAAACAGTGAACCCCCCGGTATCAACTACACTGCTGCCCTCATCTGGCAGGCCCTCGATCCCTGGATTGAGGGGCTCCCCTTCGGCACCACCAGGACATCAACAGCAAGCCTTCGGCTAATCAACACAGGAGCCCTCAGAGGAGAGAGCCTTCGGCATTCCCGTCATTCCCCACTGTGTACCAAGGTTTGACATTTTCGATTCATCATTGGGGGAATTCGGTGCACTCTTTTTCCCTCATTAGGATTTTTTCCCAAAGGGTTTTTCCTAATGAGGTTTTTAACGAGGCATCCCCCCGAAATGAAACGAAAAGCGTCAGCCTTCGGCCCACAACAGCAACGTAACTACTTTACTCCTTTTCACCACTTTACAAGTGCCTCAAGGAGTGGGGGACTGGAGGACCCCTTCGGGAAAATCATTAAATTACAAAATCTGTGAAATTCCAACAAACAACAAAGCAAGCCCTCAAGTCCCGACATGTGGGTAACTGAGGGACTGCCTTCGGCAGGGACATAAAAGCAACAACTCCTCACCAACTTCAGAGATCACGACAGGACAACATCAAAAGGCAAGCACAAATTACTCCTTTTCCCTCAAGTACCTTTCGGCAAAAGGAGTGAGGGACTCCTGATGGAGTATATGGCCCGGGAACCCCCGGCCCACAGACTCCTACTACTCCATCGAAGGCCCAACAGGCCCAACAGGCCCAAATCACAGCGCCCAGAGTACCAAGCAGCCCGCACTACGCGCCAGGGGTGCCTTCGGCCCCCTGGCCGAAGGGTCTAAACTCTCACAGAACGGGTTTCTCAAGCAAACTAAGAAACTGGGAGAAAACGGCGAAAACAGTAGCCCTCGGTACTATGAGCCCTCGGCACCAAGGTGCCCTCGGTTGGAGGAGCCTTCGGCTACTGCTCTATGGCCGAAGGCATCTCACTCGACAAGATATCCGCCTCACATGCATACAGATCACCGTACTCTGCACAGACGTCCCATCCGACAGCCGCATTAAATGCGGCCACATGCGACTGCCAGCGCCAACCAGTTGAGGTGACCCCTCGGCCAATGAGCGCTTGACACGTGTCCCTGCCCGACATTTATTGCTGCTATAAATAGCACCCCTTTTCCTCATTTGTAACCACGCTGAAAACGCTCCACATTTATAATACAGTCTCTCTCTCTATATTTACTTGCCCTGACTTCTCTCTAAGTTATTCCCCGTAGTAACCCTTCGGATATAT